GTCTGCAGAACGTAGCTTTTTAAATCTTAAATTAATAAAAAATTATCTTCGGAATTCATCTGGTCAATATCGACTAAAAAATATAAGTATTTTGAATATTGAAAGTAAACGTACCGCCGAACTTAATATTGATAAGATAATAACAGACTTTAACAACGCAAAAGCCCGAAAAAAAAATTTTTTGAAATAATAATGTATTAATGTATTCATTATAATGTTTTAACTTTATAATTCTAACTTATATTTTAAAAACAACTTATTGTTCATTTTTATTATATTTTGCTAAAATGCCTAAATGAAATTTTATAAAACTGTTTTTTTTTTTAAATATATATATATGTATATATATTACCTATTAGATATTTTCTTCTGTTTAATTATAAATAATATACAATTAAATCTACAAAAATATCATGCATTGTGTTTAATTTAGAGATAACATAATTAAAATTGATTTTGTTATAAAGTTTCATATTAATAATATAATAACTAAATTATTTATTTAATAATAAAATTAACTTCTTGTCTAATTAGTATAATGCACATATAACATTATCATTTAAGTTAAAATACGAAAAAAATACTGATTGATAATATTGCTGTAATAATACAAAAATCAAGTAAAAAATTATTAATTTGGGGCCTCCAAACAAATTTTGCACACAGGCCTCAGAATTAATATAGTTGCGGCACTGGTCACCACGCCAACAGCCGATTTCACCCGTCAGCCATCACATTATATGTTTCATATAAAAATAAATATATTATATGTATATTATACTTATAAATTATATCAATACAATAGTCTTCTTCACTAATTATTGTAATATAGAATTTTGTATGTTTTTTGAATAGTATATTAAGATAAAAATGCGTTACGCTTTTGGAAGATAAAAAATAGGTACTGTTTTTATTTCCCATATTTTTGCATATTTAAATATTAATATTTATTTTTTAAATGCAAATTTTAGTTCTTTGTCGGTTTTTGAGCATAACATTATATCTTTTGCACTTATAACAACTATTCCTTAGAAAAAATTAAACAAAAATAACAATATTAAAATTATTGATTGTGTAATTTCTAATACATCAGTTATATTTTAATAATACATTATTTTTGATCTATAAAGTATAATTCAATAACACTGCTCCGTGATAGAGGTCGTTCAATACGCACGTGCGTAGTGCGCTCTAAGTAATTAGTCGTTACCACTATAACGTGTTTTTCGTTATTTTTTTCTTCTCTAAGCCGGTTAATCAAAGATGTGACTTAGTTCATTAAATATTTTATTTAATTTTCTCTTTTAACTAAAGTGTCGCACATTAACAAACGAAATAAATGTTCGTCTTCTGAAATATTGTCATTGTCCTATTTGTAATATTGTCAACGCGTGCAGCGCATATCGGCGGCCGCCTCAATGGTCTCGATATTAAAACAATCTAATTACGCTATCGCAACCCAACGTCGTCTTCATCATCGTACTATTGTACGTGCTATTGTTTTTATTTAGAAACTCATCAATACTTTTTACATTCTATCAAAATGAATTAGTTTAATAATAATAAAGATATCAGTAAAACAAATAACACCGTACCACCGATATTAATTGTAAATACAAATAAA